CTGTGTGCTTGGCTCCTTACACTTCTCCGAGAAACAACAGAATATCAGTGAGCAGATGCCCAGAAAGAAACTGACCAGTTTGGGGGTTCAGCCTCCGCCAGTCATCACTTTATTGCCTTTAGCTCTAAATTCACCCTTCATTGCCCCGCTTGGTAACACTCAAACTGCACCCTGTAAACATTTCTCCTCTGACAGCAGGTGCAATGTTAGCCTTCTTCAATAGAGGGTGCCAGAGGGACAAGCAAGGTGTAGCAGAGGAAGCTGCTCCTCTTCCTGGTTCAGGTGTTTCTTTCCTCCTGTAGTATGTCTAATGGCAGTATGTAGGGGGTCGAGGACACTCACTCTTCTACAAGGTTCTCTACCACCCAGAGGCTGCTTCCTGTGAACCGGCTCTACCAGCCGGCACTCTCCTGGGAAATTCTTGGTCACCTGGTAGGTGGGTTTGGGTCCTTCTGCACCTGTATCTGAGTTTCTCAACCAGTTGGCAGGTTGCCTCTGCAGACCAAAATAGCTTCTGGCAAGTTTATCAGGTTGTGTGTTCCTGGGGCAGATATGTGTCCTTCAACAAGGGCTGAACCTCAGGCTTTGTGGGGTGGGGTCTCCTCGTCCAAGTTATTAGTTCCTCTCTTGTCTGCTTTCCCTCAGTCTTGGAGGTAGAAGCTATTCCTGTATTCCTCAGGGTTTTCCTTTGCCACCTTTTATTAGCCAATAAATCTTTAACCCTTCCTTGTTCAAATTATTGGCATGGTTTCTGTCTCCTGACTGGGCTCTGACAGACACAACATCTTCTCCACTTATCTAGTTAAGAGAATCCGTGTTTGATTTTGCCAGTGCTTAAACATATAGACTGTGTTTTCCTAGTTCTGTTCTGGAAGCTACATTTCTTTCTTTCTTTTTTTTTAAGTTGGAGTCTCACTCTGTCACCCAGGCTAGAGTGCAGTGGCACGTTGATGGCCACTGGGCTTAGGTGATCCTTCCGCCTCAGCCTTCCAAGCAACTGGAACTACAGGCACATGCCACCATGCCCAGCTAATGTTTTGATTTATTGTAGAGATGAGGTCTCACCAAGTTGCCCAGGCTGGTCTTGAACCCGTGGGCTCAGGCA